TTTTTGTTTGAGTTTTTATACTTGAAACACTATTTCCAACATATCTTTTTATCATTTTCTCAGGTATCGGGGGAAAGTAGGGGTCGCCCAAGAAAATCATTCAAATCTGTTGATGATCATGAAATATGGGGAGCTTGTTTACCAATAGAACACCCATTGAAAGAGCATGACTACTGCAAGTCGCAGGTGGATCCCAAGTCAAGAGAATTAAGCGATGACATTTTGCAAGAGCTCACTTCTTTGCAGAGCAAAGTGAGCGAACTTGAGCACGAAAATCAAAAGCTACGTGCAAAATGTCTTTTATTGGATCAAATTAAGCTAGAAAATGACAAATTTCATTTTTAGACCAGTCTTCCTAACTATGAGACCTTCAAAGCATTATTTAACTATTTTAATGCTGTCGGTGTGGACAAAAAAAAAATGTTGGAAAGGATCTGAAATGGCTTTACGTGACTGTCAGTTAGGAAACAAACCAGGCCATCATCCCAGCTGCCATTGGAGGAGGAGTTGTTTATGGTCGCTGTTAGATTAAGAGTAGGACTTACACTGCCAGATCTGGCATTGAGCTTTGGAATCAGTGAAGCAAGTGTCAGCAAAAATTTTTCTGCATGGATTAATCTACTGTGTTTCCACTTAAAAGATCTCTTCCAAATGCCTGACTATAAGGAATGTGGAAAGGCAAATCAGTTCTCATCATTTCCTGACCTCAAAGTTATTGTAGATTGCACTGAAATCTTTACCCAGAAACCCTCCTCATTAAAGTCCTGCAAAGAAGTATACTCAAACTACAAAAGTCATAAAACCTTTAAGTTTGTAGTGGAAATAAATGCTCATGGAGCAATTTTTTATGTGTCTCGAGCATGGGAAGGCAGGACATCAGACAAACACATCACAGCAAGCAGTGCAGAATTTATTGCTACCCTAAAGGCAGGGGATGAATTAATGGCTGACAGAGGATTTGATATCAATTAAGCAATGGAAGAAAAAGGAGTGAAGGTAACTATTCCAGATTTTAAAGGAACAGGCAGATCACAACTAAAAAAAACACGAGGGAAAGCGCTCAGAGAAGATTGCAGAGGCAAGAATACACGTTGAGAGAGCTATCCAACGAATCAAAACTTTTCAAATCCTGTGTAAACCAAATCCACTCTCAATAGCTCATTTAGCTGAACAAATTTTTACTGTGTGTGCATATCTGGTTAACTTTCAAGGACCTATCCTAAGACAGTAAAAGGAAAGTACCTGATTCACTACAAACAATATCTGTATACAAAACGGGCAGTTTATCAGCTGTAATTTGAACATTACCATTTTTTAAATTTAAGGAACAATCTCTGGCTAAAATGACGAAGACTTCAAATTTTAACCCTGTTTCATCCTGGCTGTGGCCCCTCAATATTTTCACAATTTACATTTTTATAATCAACATATTTTGATAGTAAATATGATTACTCAAAAAGTAATGATTTGATTAGATTTTTTCTGGAAATTAAAACCCAAAGAGGTCAGAAATTAAGACAACATCTGTTGTTGTTAGACAAAAGCAATCCTATTATCTTAACACTAATATCCTCGTCGCCCACAAACCCATCACCACACTACATCAGTTGCTAACCAACGTTAAAGACAAGGACGAACCGAATATTGAAAAAAAACATCTCGCGCATCTTACTACCCCTCAATATCCGCGTCGCCCACAAACCCATCACCACACTACGTCAGTTGCTAACCAACGTTAAAGACAAAGACGAACCAGATATTGAAAACAACCATCTCGCGCACCTTACTACCCCTCAATATCCGCGTCGCCCACAAACCCATCACCATACTACGTCAGTTGCTAACCAACGTTAAAGACAAGGACGAACCGGATATTGAAAAAAAACATCTCGCGCATCTTACTACCCCTCAATATCCGCGTCGCCCACAAACCCATCACCAGTGTTTACAATTTGATTGATCCCTTGTAGCCTTTTCAATCTTCTTGATATCATCGTCTTGTACTCTGAGCTTTTCAATAATTGCATCAGCTTTTGAAGTGATGTCATGCAGTGAAGCTGGATTTGACTTGATAGGGCTTACTATTTCTCTGACATCATTCTCATGCTCAGTGACGTCTTCAATGTCCACATTAAAACTGTAAGCCAAATGTGGATCATCAACTGGCAAGAAATCAGGCAATTCTTGCTGTAATGGTAATTGGGGTAGAGTATCTTTTTGGGCTAATATGTAGAATATAGGTGGCATGGGGTTTCCATGATTTGCATAGAATAGGTCTCTCTTTAAGTTCATTTTTAATTCATCCATGGTCCTTTTATCATGCTGTGTGGTTCCATAGAAACCTTCTGTTACAGAAGGAGATGGATGGAATTTCTTTGTGGGTGGTTCTTTACCTACTTTGGCCTTATAAAAGTTGATATCCTCTACAATGACAGGTTCAACTTTGGCACCTGTAAAATGGGAAAAAGAGAAATGCATTTGAAAAATAGAAAATAAATCCCAACATATAATAGAATAATAATCCACAATATTATAAAGTTAATTTTCAGGATACCTTTAGGATCTGACCATGAACAAGGCAGATCAGTACAGGTGGGGTCAGGTGGAAGATGCTGTTTTCCCTCAGCTACTACATCACACAGGGTAAAGAGAATAGCTCCCACATGGCTACAGTCCCCTCTCAACCTAGAAAACAAATGCTACATTTAAGTAATCAATTTCATTTGACATTTTTTTAAATAAATACAGCTTACCCAATTGTGCATGTGCATTGGCAAAACACTGGTTTGCTTGATTGGGTTTCCAGTACAACATACGTCACTTTGCTTTCCTCCTGATCAGTTGAGAATGACGGGTTGCAGATTCCTCTAAGAGCCCAAAGATTTGGGAAATCGGGCAGCAAATGAACTCTAAAGCACAAAATAGTAAAGAAAAAGTCAAAACTGTAATGAGACAGAATAAAGACAAAGTTTCAATTTATCTAAAATGTTGCAATTTAATGCTTTAATGCTTTAACAGGTTTACTCCTAAAACAGTTAAAACTATGCTAGGAATTTTTACAGTATATAACTTATAACTATATTTAAAAGTATTAAAATAGTGATGACAATAACATAAATAATAACACTGATTATAAAACAATAATATTTCTAAAATAAATAATTAAAATT